CTGAGAGTGAGAGGGTGTGCTGCTGGATGACTGAGGAGCACAAGCGTTATCAGACACCAGGAGGAAGGTCCTGTGGTGAGAATAAGGAAGGTGTTTGGAGCAGGCCATGGGGAAGTAGCCCAAGGAGTTGTAGCTGTCATGCAGCTGTTACAGGAGGCACTATAGACAGCTGCGGTCCACAGGGCCCTGGGCTGGAACCCGGAGTAGAGGGAGGGCCCGGGTTCCCCCCAAACCTCCCAATTGACCTGGACTGTGGGTTCTCCCAGAGGGGAAGGTCTCTGGGCTGTTCCCCAACCCACATGGTGAATCTCTGAGGCAAGAAAATCCGCCAATAAGCACAGAACCCACCAAGATAGAGGAGGAACTTTGTCACAACAGGAAAAGCCCTGGGAACTTTGGAATTTCATTTCCCGTTTGGTCAGCATGGCGAACTCAGTAGCATAGGTAACCATGCAGTCTCAGAATTGCAAATGAGCTCCAGCATGGACCGAAAGGGAGACACTGGATCTGATTGCTGTATGGGGAGAAGAATCTGTATAGGCAGAACTCTGATCCAAAAGAAGAAATGCAAATATATTTGCCAAAATCTCACAGGGCATGTTGGGCAGAGGCTACAACAGGGACACACAGCAGTGCCACATGAAAGTTGAGAAGCTCAGGCAAGCCTACCAAAAGACAAAGGAGACGTGTGGGTCAGAGCCCCACACATGCTGCTTCTGTGAACAGCTGCATGGCATTCTAGGTGGGGACCCTACCACTATCCCATCACTGTCCGTGGACATCTGCAAGGGGGGAGTCTCACGGAACACAGAGAAGGATTTTGCAGATGAGGAAGAGGAGGAGGAGGAGAAGGAGAATGTGCAGCAGGCAAGCGGTGAATCTGTTCTTCCCAGCAGCCAGGAACTTTTCATCACCCTGGAGCCAATACCCTCCCAAGGCGGGATCCCCGACCCTAAAGCCGGAGAAGGCACCTCTGGTGAGTACACATTTATAATTACAGTACAGGGTTTAAAAGCAATAGTGTTCATGGTCACCTGGTTGAAATAGGGGAATTTTTGTAAGGGGACAGTAAAAGGACCCTGTTCATGCTGGGCTGTTTGCGCTTGGGTAAAAGGGACCATCCTGGAGAATAGCCACGTGGTGGGGGGAAGGGGAAAGGGATCATCCCAAAGAATAGCCACACGGTGGGGTGGGGGTAGGTGTGTGCTGCACATCTACCTGAATGCTACAGCCCCTCCTTTTAAATGTGAAACCCAACCCATTGCTTGCTCTGGGAAAGGGGGGCGCTGCAGTTTGACAAATTCCCACATGTTATGAAGCCGTAAGAAGCCAACCCAATTTTACTCTCCCTTTTCATCTCCCGCCAGGTGCAAATGTTTTTACACTCCCCCTATCATCTCTGTCTCTGCGGTTATCTCAGATTAGAAGGCAAAAAAACCACACTCACGATGACATATTTTCCAAGCTGATGCAGTTTTCCTGCACTGATAGGGCACAGCTCAATGCATGGAGGCATTCAGTGGCAGAGGTCAGGAAAGAATTGAGTGAGCGCGAAGAGCGGAGGCAGGACGCGATGCTGAGGCTAATGGGGGAGCAAACAGACATGATGAGGCATGAATTGGAGCTGCAGGAAAGCCAACAAGAGCACAGACCCGCACTGCATCCACTGTATAACCGCCAACCCTCCTCCCCATGTTCCATAGCCTCCTCACCCAGACGCCCAAGAATGTGGGGGGGGAGGGGAGGCTCTGGGTACCCAACCACTCCACTCTAGAGGCTGGCCCAAGCAACAGAAAGCTGTCATTCAAGCAGTTTGATTTGTAGTGTGGCTACAATAAACAGTTGTAGTGTGGCCTTGTCCTTCCCTCCTCCCCCACCCCACCTGGGCTACCTTGTCTGTTATCTAATTTTTTAAAAAATTATTAAAGAAAGAATGCATGGTTTCAAAACAATAGCTACTTTATTTCGAAGGGCGGAGGGTGGTTGGCTCACAGGGAATTAAAATCAATAAAGGGGGCAGGTTTGCATCAAGGAGAAACACACACAAAACTGTCACACTGAAGCCTGGCCCGTCATGAAACTGGTTTTCAAAGCCTTTCTGATGCACGGAGGTTTTCAAAGCCTCTCTAATCGCCCTGGTGTCTGGCTGCTCATAATCGGACGCCAGGCGATTTGCCTTTACCTCCCACCCCACCATAAATGTCTTCCCCCTTACTCTCACAGATATTATGGAGCACACAGCAAGCAGCAATGGGAGTGTTGGTTGTGCTGAGGTCTGATCTAGTCAGCAAACAGCGCCAGCGAGCTTTTAAACCTCCAAAGGCACATTCTACCACCATTCTGCACTTGCTCAGCCTATAGTTGAGAGGGGGGCAAACTACGGCCCACGGGCCACATCCGGCCCCACGGGACCATCTTGCCCAGCCCCTGAGTTCCTAGCCAGGGAGGCTAGCCCCCAGCCCTTCCCCTGCTGTCCCCCATTTCCCGCAGCCACTGGGCTGCGGAGCTGCGTGCTCTGGGCGGTGGAGCTGCGTGCTCCTGCCGAGTAGAGCAGCAGCGTGTCTGGCTCCAGCTGGCATGGCAGCCAGACATGCTGCTCTACATGCTCTGCTCAGCATGGTAAGTGGGCTGGGGCCGGGGGGTTGTATAAGGGGCAAAGGGTCCCGGGGGACAGTCAGGGGACAGGGAGCAGGCGGCGGTTGAATGGGGCAAAGGTTCTGGGGGGGGCGGTCAGGGGATGGGGAACAGGGGCGGTTGGATAGGTGTGGAGTCCCAGGGGGCCTGTAAGGGGGCGGTGGTGTGGATGGGGTTGGGGCAGTCAGGGGACTGGGAGCAGGGGGGTTCGATAAGGGGTGGGGTTCCAGGGGGTGGTTAGAGACGGGGGTCCTGGGAGGGGGCAGTTAGGTGACAAGGAGCAGGGGGGGTTGGATGGGTTGGGGGCTCTGAGGGGGGCAGTCAGGGGTGGGGGCCAGACTGTTTAGGGAGGCACAGCCTTCCCTACCCGGCCCTCCATCCATTTTGCAACCCCAATGTGGCCCTCAGGCCAAAAAGTTTGCCCACCCCTGCTATAGTTGAACTGCTCCTTACTACTGTCCAGGCTGGCTGTGTAAGGCTTCATGAGCCATGGGAGCAAGAGGTAGGCTGGGTACCCAAGGATAACTCTTGGCATTTCAATATCCCCAACGGTAATTTTCTGGTCTGGGAAGTAAGTCCCTTCTTGCAGCTGCTCGAACAGCCCAAAGTTCCTAAAGATGCGAGCGTCATGCACCTTTCCCGGACATCCCACGTTGATGTCAGTGAAACATCCCTTGTGATCCACCAGTGCTTGCAGCACCATTGAGAAGTACCCCTTGTGGTTTATGTACTGGTTGGCAAGGTGGTCTGGTGCCAAGATGGGGATATGCGTTCTGTCTATCGCCCCACCACAGTTAGGGAACCCCATTGCAGCAAAGCCATCCACTATGACCTGCACATTTCCCAGAGTCACTACCCTTGATAACAGAACATCAATGATTACATTGGCTACTTGGATCACAACAGCTCCCACTGTAGACTTGCCCACTCCAAATTGATTCCCGACTGACCGGTAGCAGTCAGGCACTGCAAGCTTCCACAGGGCTATTGCCACTCGCTTCTCAACTGTCAGAGCAGCTCTCATCTTGGTATTCCTGTGCTTCAGGTTGGGGGAAAGCAACTCACAGAGTTCCAGGAAAGTGGCCTTACGCATGCGAAAGTTTCGCAGCCACTGTGAATCATCCCATACCTGCAACACTATGTGGTCCCACCAGTCTGTGCTTGTTTGCCTGGCCCAGAATCGGTGTTCTACTATATCAACCAGCCCCAGTGCCACCATGATGTCCCAATTGCCACAGCCCATGCTTTCAGGAATGTCTGTGTCCATGCCCTCATCAAAATCCTCCTTGTGCCGGCGTCTCTTAGCCCAGTTCTGTATATACTCAAGGATAATGTGCGAGGTGTTTACAATGCTCACAATGGTAGCGGTGACAGTGAGCTGAGCAGGCTCCATGCTTGCCGTGGTATGGCATCTGCAGGAGAGCAGAGTTGCAGCGGAAGCGGTGGATGACGACGGTTAGCAACACGCAGATTTCTGACAACTTGGAGAAATTTGCTATTGAGACTGAACACATTTACAAGAGCAGGAGAGCAGAGTTGCAGCGGAAGTTGTGGATGATGACAGTTAGCAGTCCTACTGCACAGTCTGCTGATAACAGCTCCCAGGACACAACAGCAGTGGTGATGGTGAGCTGAGCTGAGCGGGCTCCATGCTTGCCGTGGTATGGCATTTGCATGGGAAAAAGGCACGAAACGATTGTCTGATGTTGCTTTCACGGAGGGAGGGGTGACTGACGACATGTACCCAAAACCACCACAACAATGTTTTTGCCCCATCAGGCACTGGGAGCTTAACCCAGAATTCCAATGGGCGGTGGAGACTGCGGGAACTGTGGGTTAGCTAACCACAGTGCACCGCTCTGTAAGTCGATGCTAGCCATGGTAGTGAGGACGCACTCCACCGACTTAATGCACTTAGTGTGGACATATGCAATCAACTGTATAAAATCGATTTCTAAAAATCGATTATTTGTAATATTGACCTAATTTCATAGTGTAGACAGACCCTAAGAGTAGAATTTGTCTAAAATTTGAAGCCACTCTTGATCTATAGTGGTAATATGGTTATAGAAGCAGCTTTGAAAATGACAACTGATTCATGTCTTTTTGAATAGTAGCCATCTATAATCTATAATGGTATTAGTATTTGCCCCAAATGGTGATAAACTATGATAATTCCTCTGTAGGTTGTGTTCAAGAAAATTCTTGCTTACATTTATAATTCAGAGAATTACAACAGTACTTCTGAAATGACATACTAGTGCCCAAGTCAAGTCAGGGGGTTTTATGGGGTATAATCAGAGCCATATTTTTGTCAAGGTTACAGGGCCAGCTGCCTAACCTCTGTCTCCCTTCTTGTCTCTAAGTGCACTCCTTCACGTCTCAGGCTTTGTACGTTCATCTCTCCTGGAATGGAATCATGCAATTCTCCCACTCTAAAGGCTGGGCCCAAGACTACAGTAAGTACTCTGTATCAATCATGCTGACCCAGCAGGTCTGACTAGGTTCAGCACCTGTGGCTCTTTCTTTGGGAGTCTGTGAGCAGTGGTGAATAGAGTAACCAGACACTTTAATTACTTTGTTTATTAATTTCAGCAGTAGGAAGAAAGCACTTAGAGGATTTTAAAAACAACAGTCTATAGGTATGTCTATCTTATTTAAAGCTTATCATCTCCTGATGATAGTGTAGGAAAGCTTAGTTTCTTCAGACATGCCAGAGGATGCCTGTGTCAGTCTGACTTTAATTAGCCCCCAACAAACTGACTCCCCCATAAAAAGAGTCTCTTTTAATCCATCCTGAGGTCCTTTGTTCCTGTCAGTTCCCAGGCTTCAGTCCTGCTTCTTAAACCCAGATCAGTAGGTTCAGCAAGAGACTGAAGCAGATTCCTCAATCATTGGCACTCCCTTTGTCCCATAACAACCCTCAAGTGTGCATGGGGAGTGCCCTATCTTAAGACATTGTTTAGCTTCCTGCTCGTTTTTCTTACAACCTGCTATTAAATTAAACCAATATAGTCATGCAGTGATCATCCCAATAACCAGGTCTACATACATCAGTCATATTTTAATACAGACCAACTTCACATCCGCCACAGCTTGATATCTGAGGATCACAGTGTGTCCTTTTTGGATTATTAATATGTGAGTTTTTAATACCCAAATACAAGCTATTTAGAGGCGTCTCTTGTGCTTAAAACTAAGATCACTGAAATAAGACAACACTGAAAGAGATACAGAGATGTTATGTGACCACATAAGAGTTCTTTTTGGCCAGATGTCTATAAGCGTATAAGAATGGATTGGCTGATGAGGTTTTCAGTAATTATAAGAAAAACTGTTCTTTAAAAATGGTACTTTGGAACTGCACATTGGCCCCATTGAGGTTTTATATCTTCCTCTGAAGCATTAAGATAGATACTACTGGAGAAAGATTGGAAGGCCCTTTGCTATGTTCTGGAACAGCAATTCTTATTTGATCCCTTTTTGGACCATATTTTTAAAAGAGGCCTACAAAAGTACATCGCTAACATTTGCAAGTATATATGATTATATGTACAAAAGCCTGCTTTGCATATGCAACTACAGAGATTTTCTTGTGAAAATGGGTACTTTTCCAAATATTGTGGGAACATTTTTAAGAAGTTGCTTTGAAAATTTAGCCATATGTGTCCCTCCACCCCAGTCAAATTTGCTTAGTTAGTTAACAAAAATAAGTCTTTGCTATTGCCAGAGCTGCTGAATCAGAATAGCTGCCAAAGAATGAGCTGGATCTATTCTATTCTGCCTCAGGAATTAAATGCATAACAGAACTGCCAGTCTGCTGATTTCTGACTCCATAGTCTCAATCATTGATGATGAATAGTGAGTAACACACGAACAAGAAAGAATACTGCTTTGTTTTCAGACATTTGGTTGCAGTACTTGCATAAACTGCCTTGTGTAAACTGAGAAATTGGATATCAAAGTCATGGAGAGACACTAATTATGGCTGACAAGATGTCACTGTTACAAAGTTGTTTTCTGACCATGATCTTATTCAGTTAATATGCTAATTGTAAAAAAAGCTGCAGTCACACTGAGTAAAGAGGGTATGTGTTTAAACATTGCGACTTAAGTTGAAGCTAAGCCTCCTTTTTCAAAGTGTAGTCTACAGAAGGTAGACAACAATTTAAGAATTCTGAGGCCTAGGCAATTTCCCCCCAAAACAAGGAATTCCTTGCATCTCCCTTATAACACTGAGAAGCTCTCAGTTTCTTTGTCTTCTCCATCATTTAGGGCTTCTGTTGCAGTCATCAGGCTAGGATTTACTGTCTAATCATTAAAATTATGTCTACATAGCAGCTAGGAGGTATAATTCCTAACTCAGGTAGACTTACACCTGCTAGCTCTGCTCAAGCTAGTATGCTAAAATTAGCAGTGTTGCCGTGGCTACACAGGCAGCAGCTCTGGCTGGCCACCCAAATACAACCCCACCTGACCCCACCTATATATACACTTCTCACACTGTAACCACTCTGCTATTTGTAGCTGCTAGCATGTGCTTGTGCACCTGCATCCAAGCTGGGAATTACACATTCCAGCTGCTGAGGAGATATACCCTAAAGGGTTTATTCAGGCATTGATACAAATGTATAACTGCCATTAGGAACTAGTAGAAGTTAAACACTTGTAAAGACAGCACAACAGACCACTAGAAACAGCAAGTCACAGAATCAGGTTTCACATCAAAACATTATAGTTATGCAATGACTTTTAATGGGAGATTAATATAGGAAAACTTTACGAATGGCAGCCTAAAGACATCCTGTGGTAAATACTTAGCATGCCAACAAATATTTGATATTTGTATCTTGTACAACACTGAATTCCTTAAAATCCTGGTTCCCAATCCCCATCCCCCTCCCTCAAACAACCCACATTTGAATTAATTGTAGGACTACACATGCTCATATAAAGCTTGTGGGTTGTTAGTTGTGACAAATGTGGAAATATTTTTATTTTGTATAGAAGCAAATTTATTTGCTTGGTAGTATAACAGAGTCAACCTCCCTTGTGACCAGGAGTCAGAGGTGAAAGTAAGCCAGTCCGGTCCGGTATGGCATATTGGCAAGAGCCAGTACGCCGTGCTGGACTGGACCAGCTTCCCCAGGCTGGCGATTTAAAGGGCCCGGGGCTCCCTGCAGCGGCCAGAGCCCCGGGCCCTTTAATCACCACCCGAGTTCAGCTGCCAGAGCCCTTGGGTAGCAGCAGCAGGGCTCCGGCGATGATTTAAAGGGCCCTTTAAATCACCCCTGAGCAGCTCTGCAGCTGGTAGCTCCTGGGGCAATTTAAAGGGCCTGGGTATTTAAAGGTCCCACCTCTTCTGGTTGAGGCCACACACCCTGCTCAGGACTCCGGTGTACCGGTAAGTCCTTTAAGTTACTTTCAGACCTGCCAGGTGTGGTGTAGCAGCTCTGACTGGGCTAGCACCCCTTGCTGACACTTGCTCCAGCAGTTCCTCTTCTAGTGACTTGGCTCTCCAGCTGGGTCACCATCTTAAGTCCACTCCTTCCAGGGTCACAATTGTCCCAACTGAAAGTCCCAAAAGTGTCCTTAACACAAACAAAAATCCTTCCCCTTCTCCGAGACTCTTCCTCAGCCTGTAGCCCACTTGCTGGGCTCAAAACCCTTAAAGTGGAGTCAGTAGAGGAACCGAGCCTGATCATCCACTCTGGATCCAGGGCCCTTATTTGAAAAGCTAGGTATGCTCTATCTGTGTTGTACTTTTCCCTGTGTCACTTACTACCCAGCCTCTTAAGTTCTCCTCTAGGTCTGTCTCTTTTCCACTTAATGGGGTCTCTCCCAGCAGGGCCGGCTCAGGCTTTTTTGCCACTCCAAGCGGCGAAGAAGAAAAAAAAAAAGCTGCGATTGGCGGCAATTCGGCGGGAGCTCAAACGCCCTGCTTCATTCCTGGGCGGCAATTCGGAGGTGGGTACTTTGCTCAGAGACGGACTGAGGGACCCGCCACTGAAATCCTGGATGTGCCGTCCCTTCCCATTGGCTGCCCCAAGCACCTGCTTCGTTCGTTGGTGCCTGGAGTCAGCCCTGTCTCCCAGGCTGCTCTGCCTGGACAGCGAGCTAGCTTGTTTGCCCTTATCTTGCCTCCTTCTCTCTTTCTCTTTTGGCCTTGTCTTGCCTCCTTCTCTCTCTCACTCTCTGTCTCACACACATACACACCACTTTCCCCAGCTGGCCTTTTATTACCACTTAAGCCTTCATTCATTCTTCATTCTTAAGCCTTTCATTCCCATTACTGCAGCCACCTTTTTTCTTTATGGGGTATTTGCTTGAGGCTTGGTTTACATTACCAATTTATGTCTGTATAATTATGTCGACAAGGGTTTGGGAAATCCACACCCTTGAGAGAAGCAGTTATACTTTCTGAACTCCTGGTACAGACAGCGCTATGTTCATGGGAGGGCTTTTCCTTTTGACACAGCTACCGTCTCTCAGGGAGGTGGAGTACCTACATTAGCAGGAGAAGCTCTCCTGTCATCATAGGTAGCATCTTCACTAAGCACTACTGTGCCACTGCAGCTCTGTAAGTGTAGACAAACGCTTATTCTCCTGAGGTGGGGCTGATTCTGTAATCAGGTTGACTTAACCCAGGTTCTCCAGCCCACTGGGCAAGCCACCCTGTTATAGGAAGGATTTCCAGAATCCTTCCAGTACTTAAGAAGATGTTTTGACATCATGAAACGGCTGACATTCAGTGCAAAAAAATGTACAGTAGTGATATTATGAAGGCACTGGTGGCTGTTAGCATAACTATCATGACTAAGGGCATGGCTACACATGTAGATGTAGAGCGCTGTGAGTTAAACCAGCCTTCGGAGAGCGCAGTAGGGAAAGTGCTGCAGTGTGTCCACACAGTCAGATTCAAGCGCACTGGCGTAGTCACATTAGCAGTTCTTGCAATGCCACAGAGAGCAGTGCATTGTGGTAGCTATCCCAGCATGCAAGTGGTTGCAATGTCTTTTTCAAAGGGGGGGTGGGGTAGAGTGAGACAGGGAGTGTGTGGTGTGTATGTGGGGGGAGAGAGAGTGGGTTTTTGTGGGGCTGAAAGCATGTTAGCATGCTCTCTTGTAAGTTCAGACAGCAGCAGACCCCTCTCCCCTCCGCCTCTCTCTCTCACACACTCACAGCAAGCAACATTCCACACTAATGGCTTGCTTTGTCCCAGAGCAGATAAGCATGCCGGCTGTCAGAAACGGATCTTTGAAAGGGCATATCCACATTCCTACAGCCAAGTTCAAAACAATGACAAGAGTGGCCACTTGATTTAAAGGGCTTATGGGACGTTTTCGGAGGCCGATCAAAGCGCAATAATGCAACACCTCATTCACACTGATGCTGGGGAGTTTCAGTCGAGGTGCAGCAAGCATTATGCTTCTTGTGGAGGTGGATTACCAGGAGCGCTCCAGCTGCAGAGTCCAGGCGCTCTAAGTGCCTTGCCAGTATGGACGGGTCATGAGTTAGGGTGCCTGGGGCTGCTTTAATGAGCTCTAACTTGCAAGTGTAGCCAAGCCCTTAGTTGGGTATTGCTTACAGGAGAGGAATCTGTTTCCCACCACAAAATGATACTTTTTAAAATTTAGCATACAACAATCTAAATTGCATGTATTGAACATAGGCCTCTGGCTAAGAAGGCCAATTAACTGCCTAGGGTACCTTCCAACTCTGAATTTCAAGGACAGAGGAAAGAGCAATCCAGTGTCTGTTGCTGCTGTGCTTAGTGCCTGAAGGAAGCAGATTTATAGTTATCTGTAAGAAAGTGATTTATTATAGAAATATTCTGTTATCCATAAAACTTTTCTCCCATGGGCATTAAGAAAATTTACTGACCTGATATTGAATGAAGCCTGGGTTAGACAGATATAATACAGATCCTGCTGGCTTAAGGTAGCAAAATTGCTCTTTTTCTGGTTCTACTACCAGCAGGTCTCTTCCCCATAACTTAATTAGCTATATAATTATAAAACAACTAATTACATTAACAGTCCATTTGAGAAAGCAGCCTGGAGGGGTTCTGTATGGCTAATGATATATAACCATTTGTCTGATGTGCAGCATGCAGCACTTTGTTAGACCTAAAACTTTTCATTCAACCACTACTTAAGTTTTAAATACTAGAGGCCAGTCGCTGACTGCCTGTTTAATAAAAGCACAACTGGAGGGTTCACACTGTGCACAGCTTAAGCAACATTTAGATGGTGATGTTTCAACATGAGACTATCAGCCAACGGCATTTTAGATTTTAAGTTTTAAGCTCCAAACCACCCTTGCAGGCTGTATCCCTGCAGAGATCTCACAGTGAAATATTCAGGACAAATTGCTGGATTGCCTTGTTATGAATGTTTGTGCAGCCTGGGGAAACAACTGAAGGTGCTTTCTCCCTTCCCTCAACTTGCTCTTCTATGCAAGGTTCAGCCACACTCAAGTGTTGTACACCAGGACCAGGGGACTCCAGTGGCAAGAATAACTGTAGAAACCTTATAAAGAGCCAAAGAGAGGTTATGACATTGTTCTCATGCATGAACATATACAAGCAAAGCTGGATTGGCACAGGGGGAAGTACACACTACTCCCTGTTAAAGGATATAGAATCAGCTGCTGCTGCTTGTGCCTCCCCAGCACAACAGGGAGCATCTCTGGGAACTGCTATTAGTGCACAGCTCATCCTTCTGTATCCCTCCCACCTGCCAATGTGAGTTTGAAGCCACAATCTAGCCCAAGATTATGTGCGAGAGTTTGTGCACCATCAAATGAAAAGATCCCACACTGCTTAAAGTGCAACAGAATAATGACTGAACAAGACCAGCTGCAAGTTCAGAACTACTGTGTTTTTAGACACCCACCATCTGACATGCTGTTTAAATTGCATCTGTACTAATCAAAAGGGTGTTAATTAGACCTTTTTAAAAAAAGATGAGATAAAATGAAAGTGACAAATAACTGGGCCACCCCAAAGGACAACTTGTGCCACTGCACAGGGGACCAAAGATCAGGGATGAGCTTGGTTGTTTGTTCCCAGGACTGAAGTGCAATGGAAGCAGCTCCTCAAGGGAGAGTGAGGTCTTTGAGATATACTTCAGATAAAATTATGGATTAGGACTGACACAGGAGTGTCATTAAAGCTGCAGAGAGAAACACATCCAGGCCTATTTGTCTGCTTAGTATGTCGCCACAACACAGGGCCTTTGTTGCGAGAGAAAGGAGACTAGAGAAGAAGGGTGGACATGTTCCCTTAGAGGAAAATGGCTGTCAAGTCTCCTATATTAAGCCAGGATTGCCTCCAATCAGCCTTTGCCATGATAAGGTCATTAGAGGACTCATATGATTTCTTATACCAAATTATCTCTCTTTCTTCATCCTAGGCTTGAAAACCCAAATCACCACATTCTGATCAAAAGTAGTGCCGTAACAGTGGAAATGTATTTATTAGTCAAATATTGCTCATAAGTAGAAGAAAGGAAGGGGGTCTAGGTAGACATTTGGGGATTTTCTTATGCATTTATCTATACATATCACTATTAAGGTACGTCTACACTAGCAACTGTACACGTCTATATGCGTGGTTGTGCCATAACTCACCTATTGTCCACATTTAAACCCCAGGAGCACATGTCTGAAGGCAAGTAGAAGGCAAGTAAGATAGCATGCCTGGCCTGAGGGTTGTGGGTAAGTACATGCCCAGACTGTGGCACGGCCCCATGCATGTGCCAGTTTTCAGTGTGGATAGGGAGCACTGTGGTGGATACTAGGTCTCAAGTTTCAATTGTTCTCCACCTCTATTCCCACAATTGTCTACCACTCCTGTATGCATATTTCAGCAAATTTCTGGTGTAGCAGCTGGGTCTTAAGGTTCAATTACAGTGAAAATCTGTTTGGTCTACCATCATAGCTGATCAAACTGCTCCATTCAACAATATGTAGAGGGGTGACCATTAGTAGAACCATCTCTCTGGCATAGACTGCCGGATCTCCTCCATGGGAATGGAAAATCACCTGTCTTTTCCATTCTGGTACCCTGAAAACTACTATGTTCTCCAAATGTTGGTCAGCCCTTAAAGAAGAAATTGTAAACTGGACATAAACATGGCTCCTGGAAGGGACTACTCCTTCCCCCCACCCTCCACCCTCCAACTTGAGACAGAGATAATCTAACAGTTGTATTCCTGGAATACTGAAAAGTATCAAAATTGTGGCCTTCTACAGCAAAGTAATGTTATGTGAAGGGGATTTTTCAGCTTGTTCCAAAGGCCAGAAGTATAATGCTACCCTTCTGTTTGAATTGACAGGACCTTCAGCTTCTGAAAGTGAAACCATGACACCAGGAGGGCAGAAGCAGCACCCCACAGACAACAGGAGGCAGACAGAGAAGGACCCTGAAAGAGCAGCTCACAAGGATGGATAGGAGAAACCAGGAGCAGTTTGAATTCCTCAGGATGTGGGAGGAGTGGGATATTCAGCAAGAAGAGACACTGATGAACTGGTTCATGGAGCAGGCAGCACATATAGGGAATGGGAGCATTCCTTAATGGAGAGGCTCATTGAACTGGTAGTCGAATGAGTTTGGGTTCTGCTGAGGCCACAGAACCAGAAACTGCCACCTCCTCCTCCTCCAGCTGTTGCCCAGGGTGCTGCTGAGCCATGGAATCCTGATTCAAGAACCCCCCCCCCCAAGTGACCTGAAAGAGAACATGGAAACTGCAGGATTCCCAGGACCTCATCCTCCATCAGCACCTGAAACCCCTCACAGGGGAATCCACCTGAGATTCCAGGAGGTGAACAATCAGCCTGTGGGAGTCTCTGAATCTCACCAAGTGCCTGCCCCCAAATCCCTCTCAGAGGATATCCCAGGTTTTTCCTGAATCACTTTTCCCTGTTGTATCCCCTTTTGTCAGGAGGAGGGCAAGGAGATGAGTGCAGAGACATTTGGGCAGTGTTCCCACTTGCATTCCCTTTATTTTTTAAAGATTTGTTGCTGACCTTTCTTGTTAAAAAATATTTCAATTAAACATTCCATCTAATACTTTTGATAAATGTTATATTTTCCTTGACATGTGTATGGCCCCTCCTTCCTAAGTATGATGAACTGAAGATATTTTGAGGCTCAGAACTGGGCACATAAGGTCATTGAGAGAGATTGAGTGCTCCTGATAACAGAGGTTTGTAAGCAAGTGTGACTAATCAAGATAAAATCACTGAACACTGTGCAACTTGGTCTCCACCTTCCACTTGACAAGCCCAACCCCAAAGTGATAAACCAAGGAAGATATATTGTGATGATTGTCTTAAATGTGTGCAATGTCACTGTGTCACGGAAAGGCTAACAACCTTTTGCTACAGGGGAACAAAACCCTCACAAAACTGTGTAGCTCCACAAGTATGTACCAATGATTCCTCGCATGTATTCCAGCAGCTGTACAGGATATGAAGGTGTCCAGCCACACTGGCAGATGTAATTTTCTGTCTCCCTGCTGTGCCAAGATATGTGCACATATGGCATCCCTGATTTCCCTCGCCTACTGAGAACTAGGACCAGTTTGCACCTGGATGGGATCTGGCTGCCTGTTCAGAGTTTATAAACTGGACTTGTCTTGAGCCCATCTGGGACAGAAATACTCTCCGTTTATCCTCACAAACATTATGCAACAGCAGGTGATGCCAGATTGGCATCCAGATGAGTGCATAGGCACAGCCTATGAGGTTTCAGCATACCATGACAATTCTACAGCTACTAAGCTTGTAGCTGAATTCCCGTTTTCCAGGGTTATTGCCGTCAGGGTATAGTTTCATGAGCCAAGGCAGGAGTGGATATTTGGGGTCCCCCAAAATAACAGTTTTTTATATATCTCACTATACAGAACAATATTGTTTCTGGGAAATAATACATCCTGGCATTTTGAATCTTTCCAGAGTTTCCTGCACTTGTATTCATGAATCTGCCTCTGTGGTCCGCTAAGCCTTGTAGAATGAGTGTATACTAACCTTTTTGGTTCAAATACTCACTTGCTCCATGTGGTGGGCAAAGTACTAGGATATGGGTGTGATGGGTTGGACCACAGAAACCCCCTTGGGAACTGCCACCTGATGTGCCAAGACTACTACTGCCCCTGCTTTCCCTGCCAGCTTGGGACTCCAGTACCTTGTCTTGTTGAGCCAGACCCACGCCACTCTGCTCCAACACAGACCCAGGGTCTGAACCATGTGCCCCAAAGCTGCAGACTTAACCTGAAGGCAGCTTACAGAAGTGTTCCTGTCTTTAACACTCAGATGCCCAACTCCCAATGTGGTCCAAACCCCAAATAAATCCATTTTACTCTGTATAAAGCTTATACATGGTATAACGGGGCGACGACTCACTCTGCGGCACCTCCTGATAATCGTCCAGGGAATTAGCTCTTTCCACTCAGGAGCGCCCGCTGCAGGTCAGTGTCCCCACTTGCGGCTGGCCCCGGTGTCTCTCCCGGATCCCGGTGCCCCTTACCTCAGGGTTCCGCCCCGTGCAGTACCCCACAGTCTCACTGAGTCTCCCCTCCCCAGGGAACCCCCAACCCCCATCCCCACCTTGCCTCAGTCTTGGGCTACTGCCAGTCACCATCTAGCCCCCACTCACTGGGGCGGACTGCAATATAATTGCCACTCATCATTGGCAAGGAGGGTTTGGACCTGCTGCCTCTGCCTACCCTGGGGCTGCCCCGTTGCAACCCCAGTACCCTTCTTGGCCTTTAACAAGGCCTGCAGCCTGGGGGTTTTCCAGGCCGGAGCTCCACAGCTCCTCTGGCCTTTCCCCAGCCCTGTTCCACTTTAGGTACTCTGCTCAGCTCCCAGCAGCCAGGCCCATCCCTCTCAGCATCTAGAAATTATTGGACAGGGCATGTTTAAATAGACGCGATTAGGTTCTATTTTTTTTAATTTTGGCTTGTGAATCTTCTCTGTGATAACCCCAGATGCTTTTGTTTGCTTGTAACCTTTAAGCTGAACCCCCAAGAAAGCTATTTTGGGTGCTTAATTTTTGTAATTGCTTCTTTTAAGATCTAGCAAAAAGCCTGAGTTCCAGATGTATTTTTTTCCTTTTGTTTTTAATAAAATTTACTTTTTTTAAGAACAGGATTGGATTTTTGATGTCCTAAGAGGTTTGTGCATGTTGGTTGATTAGCTGGTAGCCACAGCTAATTTCCTTTGTTTTCTTTCTCAGCTTTTTCCGGGAGGTGGTGGTGGGGAGGGTGCTGAAAGGGCTTGAGGGTACCCCACAGGGAGGAATTCCCAAGTTTTCCTTCCTGGGTTCAAAGTGTTTTTTTTGCATTTGGGTGTTGGCAGTGTTTACCAAGCCAAGGTCAGAGAGAAGCTGTAACCTTGGGAGTGTAATACAAGCCTGGAATGGCAAGTATTAATTTTTAGAATCCTTGCAGGCCCCTACCTTCTGTCCTCAAAGTGACCAAGTGGGGATTCAGCCTTGACGTGAAAAAAAATAAACCTAATCATGTCTATTTAAACATGCCCTGTCCAATAATTTCTTCTAGGTATGGAAGATGAATTTTTATACTTGGTTCAAGCCTTACACAGCATTCCTGCTGCCCTCTGTTCCCCTCTTTCCCGGAGAGACACAACACACAAACAAAGGGAAGTTTTTCCCCCCATTTTAAAAAGTTTTAACCCTCTCATTGGCTCTTTTGGTCAGGTACCCACTCCTTTTCCTTTGCCTGGGGAACTTTGTTAACCCTTTATAGGTAAAGCAAGTAGAGAACAGCCACCAAGAGGCTTTATAGCTAACTAGCTGGCTGGGTGTCCACAAAAGAAAGCTACTCCCCCCTTCATTTATCACAGGTACCATCAACGACCCCTGCACAGTTTTGAAACCCCATCCTCTGAAATCTAGCTATTATTTCTGAAACTTTTCATATGGCAGCCACCCGTGTATAAATCACGCTGTTAATTGCCTCACAAACCGCTACAACCACAACCCTGACAGTGGACTTTCCAACACCAAAGTGATTTGTAACAGACCTATAACTGTCTGGTGTAGCCAGCTTCCACCTGGCAATAGCAACTTCTGAACTGGTATGGCTCCCCTGAATTAAGTATTCTGGCACTGAATGATTGATGCAAGCTCCTCACAAAGCTCCATGAAGGTCTGTTTCTTCATTTGGAAGTTCTGAAGTCACTGCTGGTCAGCCCAGGTTTCCAAAACAATGTGGTCCCATCACACAATGCTGGTTCTTCTGCACCAGAAGCGATGGTCCACCCAAGGCCATACCATGGCAATACTGGCATTCACAATATCTGTACCATGGTAGCTGAATGAATTGTTTTTGATCCTCAAGGTCAGATGTCGTCTACATGTCAGAAAATTCTGCCCAAATTCCATCCAGCACCTCACAAATCCCCTATTCCACTGCATAACCATTTGTCCTGCAATAAGAAACAGAAACAGAATCAGATCATCATCCCATTGCTCCATATCTTCCATCCCGTTTTGCAGGGAATAACAGTAAGGGGCGACATGACAGGAACTATCATTGGTAAAGGTGTGAAGGCAGGGGACAGTACCAACAACACACAGCAAAGTGGTTCCTAGAGTATCTCCCTGCGATCCACAGAACTGTGGGATACGACCCCTGTGCTAATGTTGTATAACAACAGCGGGTATATGGGTAGATATATGTGGGTAGATATGTGTACTCGGCTGTAGCGGGGTGGACACCGGCTCCTACCCTGAGGGGCTTAAAACAGCCATAGGAAAGGGCTGTGGCAGGAGAAAGCGGCCACTGGGCTGATTGGGGGAAGCAGGCAGAGCTGTGGCCATGCCCCAAACAGAGCCCAGCTGGCCCCTATAAGAGGCTGCGAGCCAGGAACCCAGTCAGTCTCTCTCTGCCTTCAGAGAGAGGGGGGCCTGGCTGCTGGGAAGCTCAGGGTGCCTAGAGTGAGGCAGGGCTGGGGAAAGGCCAGAGGGGCTGGGGGGCTCCAGGCTGGCAACTCCCCAGGCTGCAGGGCCTTGTCCAAGGCCCCATAGAGGTACTGGGTTGCAGAGAAAAGCAGCAGGTCCAAACCCCCCTTACCAGTGATGAGTGGCATACACTGCAGTCTGCCCCAGGGAACAGGGGCTAGTTGCTGACTGGCAGTAACCTTACACTGAAGCAAGGTGGGGATAGGGGGTGGGGATTCCCCTGGGTGGGGAGACCCTGAGACTGGAGGTGTGTACTGCCAGGGGGCAGCACCCGGGCTAAAGGGGCACCGGAGTCCAGGGAGGGACATGGGGGCCAAGCTGCAGCGGTAAGGCAGATCACTGGCCTGCAGAGGGCGCCCCGGAAGCTGGATGAGCTAATTCCCGACAGAGACCAGCAGGAGGTGCTGCAGGGAGTGAGTCCGCAAGCTTACACTGGCACTATACCTGTTTCCAGCACAGCATATGTGGACTCTTGGCACAAATATGATGAGCATGTGTGAGCATGTACATGATCCAGTACTTGAATATGCGTGCCAGAGTCAACATAGCCTTAGCTGTAAAAGCACACTGCTCACACCTACAAATATGGGCACTGCTCTCACAATCCAATGGGCAGTCAGATGAAATAGTATTGATATCCTGCCTGTCCCTTACAGAAATGTGTAAAAGAAAGCTTAATAGACCTGCTTGCATTGCTATACCTGCTATCTAAGAGAAAATAGAACAAACAATGCTGGAACTGTATGACTAACCAAAGGGAAGATAAAAACCACCCTTTAGATCATCAGAACACTTTCAGCATATCTTTTTGTGAGATCTATTGTACTCAGAATCATGGATTAGGGATGAAACTTTTCATAACCACCTAGGGGATCTGGATGCCTAGTTGCCATTAAGATTAGTTTTTAAAAATCTCAGGCTAGATAGTAGAGGTGTAAAAGACCGAGAGTCTTCTAGTTCACCTTTACTACAGGGATAAGAATGTCCCCACTGAATATTTACAAGGGTTTTATTTGGCCTATTTTAACTGTTTCTGATTGCTCACTTTGGACCTCATGCAATTATTCTATATTCTAAATGTTTTTACTCTAAACATTTTTTTCTGATGATTAATCTTTTTTTATGTATACCATTTCATATGCCTACATTTTTCCTCCTGACATCCTTATGAACAATTCCTCCCCCTCCTTGATTTTTACAACCTTCACATATTTATAGACTGATAACATGTCACCCATCTCACCCTCCTTTTCCTAATGCAAGCTATACATATTCATTTCTATTAATCTTCCCTCATACATCAATTCCTTCAAGCTGTTTATCTTCCTACTAGCCCTTCTGTGAACTGTCTTCATTTTATCAATATATTTTTTAAACTGTAACACATAAAATTACACCTGGTTGCCCAGTTATCAATTACATATAAAGAATGAAAACTTGTCCCTATTAAAGTCAATGAGAGTTTTTTGCCATTGTCTTCACTAGGGCCAGGATTTCACCCCAGTGATTAAATTCACCCTGATGCATAAAGCCAACATAAGATCTCTATATTGCTTTAGTCCCATTGAAACCCTATTTTGAGAACCTAGGCTGGACCCAAGTGGCATATAGGCTTTGTCCTGGATGTTTGCATAGGGATGAATTTCACCTAAAGAGTGAATTGTCCTTCAAAAGATGTAAAGACTCAAAATATGTTAATCAAGACTTTCATACTATCTAATCCCAATACATTTCCATTTTATATTTTACTTAAACAGACCAAGTCAAAAATGACCTAAGCATTATTGTGCAATTTATTTTAAATGGTCTCCAGATCTGAGACCTTGTATTATAAACCTGATCGTGTTACATTTTGGTTTTGGGCAAATTACCTGTTTCAGAAAATGGAACTTACTAAGAAAACCTTAACTATACTGCTGCTAGGGAGATACTATGATATATTACAGTGAAATATACGGTAATACATAAAGTCCTTTCAGAATACCAGAGAGATAATTCACTGCTAAAGAAATTCCACTGATACCATAAGCCATGAAAGTAGAGCTCGAGTAGTTTATGAATGAAGTCCATGGAACTCCAAAAATGCACTGTCACTTTAATATTTCATCAGGAATTATTCATTGTTAATATAATGTAATATTATCTTCTAAGCTAAAATAGTGGGCTAACCCAGTCCAACAGCAATAAAAAAGTCCTTTCC